CTTGTCTCCCAGGATGCAACCCACACCAGTCGACTAACACCCAGGTGAACAGGGAAAAATGCCTGGAACTAGTGCTCATATTGGTGAATTTAAAGCCAGCAAAGGTTGGTTTGAGAGATTTAAGAATCGTAGTGGCATACAGTGTGATAAGGCCTGTTCTGGAAGAAAATGCCAAACAGGACCTACAGTACTCAGGAGGAAAAGGCACTCCCAGGACACAGTGTCTCATCAGTCATTGCTGCATCTTCAATAAAGGTAAGTATCATTTATTCTTCATTTAGTAGAGTAGTACATGCACAATATATATTGTGCATGTACTACTCTACTATTGTGCATGTATCCTTCTCTTTGTGTGTAGGAAAATGTATATTTCATGTGCACGGATTAATTTGATTTCCATTATTTCTTATGGGGAAAATTCATTCGCATAACGATAATTTCGCATAACAATGAGCTCTCTTGCACGGATTAATATCACTATGCGGGGGTCCTCTGTATTTACACTCCAAAATTCTAGCGGCTTCAAATCAAGCAGGAGAAAGCTGGTAGGCCCACATATGAGAGAATGGGTCTGTGTGGTCAGTGTGCACAGTATAAAAAAAAATCCTGCAGCATGCAGTGCATAATGAGAAAAAATAACTCTTACCGTGTTTTTGGATTAAAACCCCAACTTGGTGTATTTTCGTATAGCATTTATGGTTGTATTCTTGACTCAAGAAATCGTAATGACACGATTGCAAATAAACCATACCCCCGGCCGGGATTGAACCCGCGGTCATAGTCTCAATGACCGCGGGTTCAATCCCGGCCGGGGGTATGGTTGTATTCTTGTTTTCTTGGTCTCATTTGATAGAATAGAAGACATAGAAACAAAGATGATTTTGATTGGTTTCACGATGAAAAGGACCTTGAAATTGAGCTCAAAGTTGCAGCAATGTTCAATTTTTGTCGATGTTCAAGAATAAACAAATGACATCATTGTCCAATGTGTCCAAATAGCTATTCTAATATGCAGTCACGAATGGGTTGACATTACGTATACAATTATTACAATAATGCAGTAGTCTGCATAGCAGTAAATCTTCTATTTTTTGTGTGAATAAAAATTTAAAATAGAAAGCTAGAGTAATGTAAGAGGGGCCTGGAGATGTGACTGATGAACAGAAAAAATGTTATTTTAGTGCTAGGAATCTCTGCATTGTTCATTCTGGATTCTGTTTTGAAATTGGCATCTCTTTTAATTTGCATGAAATTGGCCAGATTGCCAATTTCTGACCACTTTATTAGGTAGTTGAAATTGGTAAATGGGTGATTTCTTGTACTCAGTCGATAGAACAAATGGAGTTCTAAAGAAATAGCTATGAGTATGGTCAACTGGAACAGTGGAATTGGCCAAAAATAGGGCTCAAAGTGGGCAAAATTGCTGATGCGTAAATATCGCTGGGATCGTTAACTTCGCGAGAGTGTAATTCCAGAAGTTTTTAATCAAATTTCGTACTTTTGGTGTTATTACTACCAGGAAAAGATTCTCTGTCATTTCATAAGAAAAAGTAATTTTTTTTTTTTAATTTTTCGACACTGAGAGCAAGTTTGTGAGCAGGGGTCTCGACAGTCAAAGGGTTAATATGCACATTGAAGCTTTCTGGAAAGCCCCAAAAATCTGACAGTGTTTGAGGAGGGCAATCATAGATACTTTTTATTCAAGTTACCTACTTATTTTTCTCAGGATTTCCTAGGTGTATGTTGCAGTGCTCTTGTGTTATCTTGAATATAAAATTTTAATCCTCTTCTGGAGAACTTTGAAATTGGAATTTTAAAGAAAAAATAGTCCTTATAAAATATAGTACAGGACAGTACTTTTCATAAGATAGGTACATTTCAGAATGCATCTAAAACACATCTTGTATAGACCGTTGATCCAGTATTTACCATATAGCTAAGGAGCTAAAAAAATAAAAAAAAGCATACAGATGCTGGGGAACATATCCTTATATGCAGATGCAGAACAAGCCACATGGGATGTTAAGATCACCTGTTTGTGATTGTATTGCAATATCACTATACATGTATACACCTACCATCCGACTTACGACCGAGTTCGGTTCCGAGAAACCGGTCGTAAGTCGAAATGGTTGTAAGTCGAACTTTACTACTGAATATCAACAAAACATTTTTGTAATGACTTTATTTTATTGTTTTATTTTGGTATTTCATGTTTTACTTTACTTTTTATGTTGTTAGTACTGTATTTTATACTGTAAGGTTTAGGATAAACACTGTGTACAACACAAATAGTTATTTATTTCACAGAAATTTGGCATAAAAAACACGGTCGTAAGCCGAGTGGTCGTAAGTCGGATGGTAGGTGTATATGTATGAAAGTTCTTTTCCCATATTTTCGTCATTTATTGTAAACAATTGATTAGTGGTTATGTAAGCATAATTGATGTATGTAATGTCCATGAGTTAACCCTTTGACTGTTTTGGTCATATACATGTATGTACATCTTACGCGTCACTGTTTCGGATGTATTAATACGCGTATATTCTAGCGGCTTCAAATCAAGCAGGAGAAAGCTGGTAGGGCCTCATGTGAGAGAATGGGTCTGTGTGGTCAGTGTGCACCACATAAAAAAAAAATCCTGCAGCACGTAGTGCATAATGAGAAAAAAAAAAACCTGACCGCTTTTTTTTGGATTAAAACGCCGAGTTTGAGGTGTATTTTTGTATAGTATTTATCGTTATACAGTGGACCCCCAGTTTGCGATATTAATCCGTTCCTGAGAGCTCATCGTAAACCAAAATTATCGAAAAGCGAATCAATTTTCCCCATAAGAAATAATGGAAATCAAGTTAATCCGTGCAAGACGCCCAAAAGTATGAAAAAACAAATTTTACCACATGAAATATTAAGTTTGATGCACACAAACTGAAGAAGACATGCACAGTTTGTAGTACTCTACTGACAATAGAATACATGACACTTACCTTTAATGAAGATCTGGTGATGATTGATGTGATGGGAGGAGGGGAGTGTCGAACTTATAGTTTAGAAGGGGAATCCCCTTCCAATAGGCTTGAGGTAGCAAGTCCTTTTCTGGGGTTACTTCCCTTCTTCTTTTAATGCCACTAGGACCAGCTGGAGAGTCACTGGCAGCCTCACCATGCCTAATTACACTATGTATGCCACTACGATTCTTAAATCTTTCAAACCAACCTTTGCTGGCCTTAAATTCACTCACATCACCACTAGTTGCAGGCAATCTTTACCAAATCGTCATGCAACTGCCTAGCCTTTTCACAAATGATCGCTTGAGAGATGCTATCTCCTGCTATCTGTTTTTCATTTATCCACACCAATAAGTGTCTCTCAACATCTTCTAACACTTGCGGTCGCTGTTTTGTAATCACAGTTGCACCTTTTGCAACAACAGCTTCCTTGATTGCCATTTTCCTGGTCACTATAGTAGAGATGGTTGATTGGGGTTTTGTATACAACCTGGCCAGCTCCGACACATGCACTCCACTTTCGTACTTTGCAATTATCTCTTTCTTCATTTCAATAGTCATTAGCACCCTTTTTCTTGAAGGGTTGGCACTAGAAGCTTTCTTAGGGCCCATGGTGACTTATTTTGCAGAAACAAGCACCAAAAACAGTGATAATATGGATAATATGGAATGTACCGAATGTATCCTTAGATGCGAGCACACTGGTTGGCTTGTAAACACTGGCACACACGTGGACACGTCTCGGACGAATCGTATACCGAGTTTTTTAATGGGAACCGAGACAAAATTTTTGCTTTAAAATGCATCGAATACCGGATTTATCGGATACCGATGGCATCGCGAACCGGGGGTCCACTGTATTCTCATTTTCATGGTCTCGCGTGATAAAATGGAAAGCATATTACAGAAATAGAGATAATTTTGATTAGTTTCACGATGAAAATGACCTTGATAAATTAGACACATGTGCAACTCTTGGGTATCTTTATTGAGGAAACGTTTCGCCACACAGTGGCTTCATCAGTCCATACAAAGGAGAATCTTGAAGAAAATGACCTTGAAATTGAGCTCAATGTAGCAGAAATGTTCAATTTTTACCAATGTTCAGGAGTAAGCAAATCACACCACATGTCCAGTACACGTCAACTGGGGAGTCTAATAATCTTTCACTAGTGCACTGATATATTGTACCATTTTTACAATAATGCATTAGTCTGCATAACAGTAAATAAATCAAAATAGAAATAAATAGTAAATAAATCAAAATAGAGAGGCCTAGAGACGTGACTAATGAACAGAGGATATGTTATTTTAGTGCCAAGAATGTCTACATTGTTTATTCTGGACCCTATTTTGAAATTGTCATCTTTTTTTAATTTGCGTGAAATTGGCCAAATTGCCAATTTCTGACCACTTTACTAGGTAGTTCAAATCGGTAAATGGGCGGTTTCTTGTACTCAGCTGATAGAAAAAATGGAGTTTTAAAGAAATAGCTATGAGTTTGGTCAACTGGAACAACGGAATTGGCCAAATACAGGGCTCAAAGTCGGCAAAATTGCCGATGCGTATGTGTCGACGAGACCGCTAACTTTGCGGGAGCGTAATTCCGTGAGTTTTTGACCAAATTTCGTACTTTTGGTGTCATTACCATCAGGAAAAGATCCTCTTATCATTTCATTAGAAAAAATAATTTTTTTTTTTTTTTTTTTTTTTTTTTTTTTTTTTTTTTTTTTTTTTTTTTTTTTTTTTTCAAAAAATTTTGAGACATAGAATGACAGTTTCAGAAAGGGGCTTGTGACAGTCAAAGGGTTAATATATGTCTATAAATAGATTTGAGAAAAATTTTTATTTACTCTTTATAATCTTTAGCAGTGGATACAGGAAATAATTAAGATTAAAAATAACCACTTAATGTACCTCTATAAAGTGGGGTCTTTGATGTGACAGTTAACTAAGAAGTACAAGTTATTTAATGCACACTTGTTTTGTAGGGAGAAAATCGTCAAAGCCGCAGTCGTAGCCACAGCGGCAGTCATGGGCGCTCACCAAGCAGGAGCAGAAGCCGTAGTGCAAGTGGTAGTCGCAGCCGTAGTCGCAGCAGATCTGGCAGCAGGAGCAGGAGTCGCAGTAGAAGTCGGAGTCGAAGCAGAAGCAGAAGTCAGAGTAGGAGCAGGAGTAGGAGCAAGAGCAGAAGCAGGAGTAGGAGCAGAAGCAGAAGTCGGTCCATGAGATCTGATGAAGCGATGGAAGCTCGAAGTGGGGAGGAGGAGATAAGTGGAGATGAAGAACCAGCTGATGGTGAAGATATTGGAAATTCGGTGAGTACTGCTTTGTTTTAAGATATAGGTATCACAGGGGCTCCTGGAATAGAAAGACTCAAAACTCATCAAAGGTATAAGGTATGCAGAGTAGGGTATTCCACATAGGCAGCCTCAAGTTCAAAAAATTAAATTTTGCTTGTACAAATAATGTAATATACATTAAAAAGATCAGTTTACAGAATAAAGAAAAAATTTGCTTTGAAAACAAGTTATGACTAAAAATCCAAGCTTTATTAAATATTCTTCTTAGTTATTTAATATTTATTTCTTAAAAGTTTGTTTTGAAAATGATCTATGTCACTTAACCCTCCCTATTCTTTTTATTTTTTTTTTATTATCACACTGGCCGATTCCCACCAAGGCAGGGTGGCCCGAAAAAGAAAAACTTTCACCATCATTCACTCCATCACTGTCTTGCCAGAAGGGTGCTTTACACTACAGTTTTTAAACTGCAACATTAACACCCCTCCTTCAGAGTGCAGGCACTGTACTTCCCATCTCCAGGACTCAAGTCCGGCCTGCCGGTTTCCCTGAACCCCTTCATAAATGTTACTTTGCTCACACTCCAACAGCACGTCAAGTATTAAAAACCATTTGTCTCCATTCACTCCTATCAAACACGCTCACGCATGCCTGCTGGAAGTCCAAGCCCCTCGCACACAAAACCTCTTTTACCCCCTCCCTCCAACCTTTCCTAGGCCGACCCCTACCCCGCCTTCCTTCCACTACAGACTGATACACTCTTGAAGTTATTCTGTTTCGCTCCATTCTCTCCACATGTCCGAACCACCTCAACAACCCTTCCTCAGCCCTCTGGACAACAGTTTTGGTAATCCCGCACCTCCTCCTAACTTCCAAACTACGAATTCTCTGCATTATATTCACACCACACATTGCTCTCAGACATGACATTTCCACTGCCTCCAGCCTTCTCCTCGCTGCAACATTCATCACCCATGCTTCACACCCATATAAAAGCGTTGGTAAAACTATACTCTCATACATTCCCCTCTTTGCCTCCAAGGACAAAGTTCTTTGTCTCCACAGACTCCTAAGTGCACCACTCACCCTTTTCCCCTCATCAATTCTATGATTCACCTCATCTTTCATAGACCCATCCGCTGACACGTCCACTCCCAAATATCTGAATACATTCACCTCCTCCATACTCTCTCCCTCCAATCTGATATCCAATCTTTCATCACCTAATCTTTTTGTTATCCTCATAACCTTACTCTTTCCTGTATTCACTTTCAATTTTCTTCTTTTGCACACCCTACCAAATTCATCCACCAATCTCTGGAACTTCTCTTTAGAATCTCCCAAGAGCACAGTGTCATCAGCAAAGAGCAACTGTGACAACTCCCACTTTGTGTGATTCTTTATCTTTTAACTCCACGCCTCTTGCCAAGACCCTCGCATTTACTTCTCTTACAACCCCATCTATAAATATATTAAACAACCACGATGACATCACACATCCTTGTCTAAGGCCTACTTTTACTGGGAAATAATTTCCCTCTTTCCTACATACTCTAACTTGAGCCTCACTATCCTCGTAAAAACTCTTCACTGCTTTCAGTAACCTACCTCCTACACCATACACCTGCAACATCTGCCACATTGCCCCCCATCCACCCTGTCATACGCCTTTTCCAAATCCATAAATGCCACAAAGACCTCTTTAGCCTTATCTAAATACTGTTCACTTATATGTTTCACTGTAAACACCTGGTCCACACACCCCCTACCTTTCCTAAAGCCTCCTTGTTCATCTGCTATCCTATTCTCCGTCTTACTCTTAATTCTTTCAATAATAACTCTACCATACACTTTGCCAGGTATACTCAACAGACTTATCCCCCTATAATTTTTGCACTCTCTTTTATCCCCTTTGCCTTTATACAAAGGAACTATGCATGCTCTCTGCCAATCCCTAGGTACCTTACCCTCTTCCATACATTTATTAAATAATTGCACCAACCACTCCAAAACTATATCCCCACCTGCTTTTAACATTTCGATCTTTATCCCATCAATCCTGGCTGCCTTACCCCCTTTCATTTTACCTACTGCCTCACGAACTTCCCCCACACTCACAACTGGCTCTTCCCTATTCTTTTATCTCATTATAATTATTGATGTAAAACTGCCTATGTTTCTTGTTTAATATTTTATTTTGAGGTTATCACATACCCATTTTCAGTCCATTGGCTATTTGCATTTTTGTGATAGTTTTTTTTTTTTTTTCAAAATCATAAGTTATCACAGAATTTCTACTGTTTTGTATGTCGAAGGTTTGTTCCGGCTTGTTATCCAAAATTTAATTCTTCTCTGATCCTGTTTTCATCACACAAAAATTATATAACTGATCCATGGGTGATTGACAAGCACTGCAACTAGTGATTTCTCTTAAACATTTACTTTTCTTTTAGTTTCATTATTTACATTTACTAATTTTGTTTGATAATTTTTTCCTTTTGAAATGTTCTCTCATTTCCCACAGGAATATGATAGTGAAGAAGATGAAGATGATGAACGTCTTGCTAAAAAGAAAAGAAAGCGAGGTGCTGTCTCAGATTACTTCTTGGAGGAGGCTGAAGTGGATGACGATGAGGGGGAAGATGACGAGGATGAGGAAGTAAGTCTAGTTTTAAGCTGCATTTTACAGTGTTTGGATCAGGGATTCTTAACCAGGGGTATCAATACCCCTTATGGGTATGAGAACCAAATACAGTGGAAGTTTGGTTTTGTATGCCCGAGTCTGTATGTAAAACTGTAGTTATTCTCTATAAAATGTATTTTTTGTTAATATTTCCCATAAGAAATAAAGTAAACCCAATTAATCCATTCCAGACACCCAAAAAATTAACAAAAAATACATTTTATAGAGAATAACTATAGTTTTACATATAGACTAGGACATACAAAAACCAAGGTTGCCCTGTAATGGAGTTATAGGACTCGATCTCTTAACAATTTCAGAAAAAAGTTGTTAGAATTATCTATCAGCTGTTCTGTTCCTAGCTATTCATATGTAAAGTAAAACCAAGCTAATGACATCTTTTGAAGTCATACTAGTACCTAATGATTTTGACAGTCTGGTGAAAGGGGTATGGGGACATATTGAGCAGTCCATTGAGGGGTCTGTAATTGTGTCTAGGTTAAGTACCCCTAGATAAGGAGAACGTTGAAAAAAAGTAGATCCTGTTTAGATCATATAAGGAGAGCTTTGAAAATAGTAGGTCCTGTTTAGATTATATAAAGAGAGCTTTGAAGAAAAGTGGATCCTGTCTCTTGAAAGTCTGACCAGGCCCGCTTTAGAGAGAATGTATACGTCAATATTTTTTGAGACTTACATGGAAAAATAAAATCCTTGAATTATTTAATTAATGTGTTAAGTTGTATTCTATTTTAAGCATAATTTTTCTAATTATGAATAATTTCTTACATATTAAAGATATTTTACAGGGTGACTACTATGATCTCTTGGGCAATGAAAAAGAGGAAGTTGGTGTTACTGCCCGAGAGATTGAAGCCAACCGTAGAGCACACAGTGTCTGGGAGTAAGTAATGTTTTTCTTTAATCCAGATTAATAACTATTCGTAGGTAGTAAGCTTGGTCACATTGATAGGTGCAGTTGTGAAGAGTTAACATATCAATTAGATCCTAAGAAGTACAATGCCTGCACTTCGGGAAAGAGGTTTGGGATGTAGGCTGTTTGGAATGACCTCTAAAACTGTTGTATCTGAGTGCCTCTGCAAAGACAGTGATTATGTACAAATGATGGTGAAAGTGCCGAATGATGAAAGTTTTTTCTTTCTTTTTTGGGTCACTCTTCCTCGGTGGGAAATGACCAGTGGTAAAAAAAATACATGTGTATGTCTTAGACAGGGATATGTAATGTCACCATGGTTATTTAATATATTTATAGATGGGGTTGTGAAAAAAGTAAATGCTAGGGTGTTGGGGAGAGGGGTGGGATTAAATTATGGGGAATCAAGTACAAAATGCGAGTTGACACAGTTACTTTTTGCTGATGATACTGTGCTTATGGGAGATTCTAAAGAAAAGTTGCAAAGGTTATTGGACAAGTTTGGGAGGGTGTGTAAAGGTAGAAAGTTGAAAGTGAACATAGGTAAGAGTAAGATGATAAGAACATACATAAGAACATAAGAAAGGAGGAACACTGCAGCAGGCCTGTTGGCCCATACTTGGCAGGTCCTTCACAAATCCAACCCACTAATAGAATAAACGCTACCCAAGCAATAAGCTTTAATAATTCTATTTACTCACGTGCAAGTCCCACTCAAATCCAACCCCTCTCACTCATGCATTTATCCAACCTAAATTTGAAACTACCCAAGGTTTTAGCTTCGATAGGACCTTGGGTAGCTTTAAAAAGAGATTGGACAAATATGAGTGGGAGGGGCTGGGTATGATTGATGTCGTGGGTACATAATAACATAAGAAAGGAGGAACGCTGCAGTAGGCCTATTTAGGAAATGGTATGGTGATACCGACAAGATGTGGAAAAAGGCACTTATGTACAGTTCAGGACATATATTAACCCTTTCAGGGTCAACAGGCCCTCTCCTAAACTTGTTCTCAGGGTCGAAAAGTTTTTGAAAAAAAAAAAACATGAAATGATAGAGAATCTTTTCCCAATCACAATGACACCAAAAGTATGAAATTTGATGGAAAACTTAGGGAATTATGCTCTCATGAAGTTAGCTGTCTCAACGATGTTTACGCAACGGCAATTTTGCCCACTTTGAGTCCTATTTTCGACCAATTGAAATGTACCAGTCGACAAAAATCATAACTAGTATTTCACTAGAACTCCATTTTTTCTATCGAATGAGTACAAGAAACCACCCATTTGCTGATTTCAACTATCCAATAAAGTGGTCAGAAATTGGCAATTTTGCCAGTTTCACACAAAATTCAAAAGACACCAATTTCCAAATAGGGTCCAGAATAAACAAGACAGACATTCCTGGCACTAATATAACGTTTTTTTCTGTTCATTAGTCACGTCCCCAGGCCTTGCTTACATTTCTTTTGCTTTCCACTTTAAATTTTTATTCTCACAAAAAAATAGAAGATTTACTGTTATGCAGACTACTGCATTAGTGTAGAAATGGTATAAATAATATCAGCACACTTGTGAAAGAATATTAGACTCGCCAGTTGACTTGTATTGGACGCGTGGCATGATTTGTGTACTTTTGAACTTTGGCAAAAATTGAACATTTCTGCTACTTTGAGCTCAATTTCAAGGTACTTTTCATTGTGAAACCAGTCAAAATCATCTCAATTTCTGTAATATGTCTTCTATTCTGTAAAATGAGACCAGGAAAACTAGAATACAACCATAAATAGCATACGAAAATACACTGCAAAGCCGCTGTTTTAAAGCAAAAACACTGTTGGAGTTTTTTTCTCATTGTGCACTCTGTGCTGCAGAATTTTTTTAATACTGTGCAGACTGACCACATAGACCCATTCTTTCATATGTAGGCCTACCAGCTTTCTCTCGCTAGATTTGAAGGTGCTAGAATTTATGCGTATTAGTACGGCACCAACCCTGAAAGGGTTAAAGGAAACGTTTCGCCACGAGTGGCTTCTTCAGTCTTAATACAGAGACAACTAAGAAAAGACGTGTATATATATAGTGGCAGGAGTCAGGTGAAGTGTCGCGTGGGTAGAGGTGGTAGTAGTAGTAGTAGAAGTAGTGGAACTAAGGCTGTGAAACGGATGGCTACAGAGTAAGGTGATGAAGGTATCAAACGATTTAGATAAAGAAAAATTGGATATCACATTGGAGAGAGGGACTATGGAAGAAGTGAATGTTTTCAGATATTTGGGAGTTGACGTGTCAGCGGATGGGTTTATGAAGCATGAGGTTAACCCTTTGACTGTTTTGGTCGTATATAAACATCTTACGAGCCACTGTTTTTGACGTATATATACTCAAATTCTAGCGGCTTCAAATCAAGCAGGAGAAAGCTGGTAGGCCCACATGTGAGAGAATGGGTCTGTGTGATCAGTGTGCACCAAATAAAAAAAAATCCTGCAGTATGCAGTGCATAATGAGAAAAAAAACTCCAACCTTTTTTTTTTTTTTTTTAATTAAAATGCCAACTTTGTGGTCTACTTTTGTATAGTATTTATAGCTGTATTCTCGTTTTCTTGGTCTCATTTGATAGAATGAAAAACATATAGAAATAGAGGTGATTTTGATTGGTTTTACTATGAAAAGAAGCTTAAAATGGAGCTCAAAATAGGAGAAATGTTTGATTGTTGCCGATGTTCAAAAGTAAACAAATGATGTCATTTTCCAATAAATGTCCAACTAGCCATTCTAATATGCAGTCATGAATGGGTTGACATTATTTATACAATTATTACAATATTGCAGTAGTCTGCATAACAGTAAATCTTCTTTTTTTTTTTTGTATGAATAAAAATTCAAAATAGAAAGCAAGAGTAATATCAGAGGGGCCTGGAGACGTGACTGATGAACAAAGAAAATGTTATTTTAGAGCCAGGAATGTCTGCACTGTTCATTCTGGACCCTATTTTGAAATTGTCATATTTTTTAATTTTCATGAAATTGGCCAAATTGCAAATTTCTGACCTCATTATTGGGTAGTTGAAATCAGTAAATGGGCAGTTTATTGTACTCAGTCAATAGAAAAAAATGGAATTCTTAAGAAATCGCTATGAGTTTGGTCGACTGGAACAACGGAATTAGCTGAAAATAGGGCTCAAAGTGGGCGAAATCCCCGATCCGTAAATATCACCAAGGTCACTGACTTTGCAAGAGTGTAATTCCATCAGTTTTCCATCAAATTTCGTTCTTTTGGTGTCATTACAATCTGAAAGAGATTCTCTATCATTTCATAAGAAGATTTTTTTTTTTTTTTTTTTTTTTTTTTGGGGGGGGGGGGGGGGAATTTTGCGATGCCAGGAGACACCTCAGGATTTGGGGTTGCGACAGTCAAGGGGTTAACCATAGAATTCATGAAGGAAAAAAGGTGAGTGGTGCATTGAGGTATATGTGGAGACAAAAAACGTTATCTCTGGAGGCAAAGAAGGAATGTATGAAAGTATAGTGGTACCAACACTCTTATATGGGTGTGAAGCTTGGGTTGCAAATGCTGCAGCGAGGTGGCTGGAGGCAGTGGAGATGTCCTGTCTAAGGGTGATATGTGGTGTAAATGTTATGCAGAGAATTTGGAGTGTGGAAATTAGGAGGAGGTGTGGAGTTACTAAAAGTATTAGAGGGCTGAAGAGGGGTTGTTGAGGTGGTTTGGTCATTTAGAGAGAATGGATCAAAGTAGAATGACTCGGAGAGTGTATAAATCTGTAGGGGAAGGAAGGCGGGGTGGGGATTGTCCTAGAAAAGGTTGGAGGGAGGGGGTAAAGGAGGTTTTGTGGGCGAGGGGATTGGACTTCCAGCAAGCTTGTGTGAGCATGTTAGATAAGAGTGAATGGAGACAAAAGGTTTTTGGGACCTGATGAGCTGTTGGAGTGTGAGCAGGGTAATATTTAGTGCAGGGATTCAGGAAAACCGGTTATTTTTATATAGCCGGACTTGAGTACTGGAAATGGGAAGTACAATGCCTGCACTTTAAAGGAGGGGTTTGGGATATTGGCAGTTTGGAGGGATATGTTATATATCTTTATATATGCTTCTAAACTGTTGTATCTGGGCACCTCTGCAAAGACAGTGATTATGTATAAGTGAGGTGAAAGTGTTGAATGATGAAAGTATTTTATTTTTGGGGATTTCTTTCTTTTTGGGTCACCCTGCCTCAGTGGGAGACGGCCGACTTGTTGAAAAAAAAAAAATACCTACTGTCCCCTCAAAACTTAGGGTAGACTTATGCATGAGATGTGAAAAAGGTAGGAATTTTTTGAAAAAACAAAAAAAAACAAAACAAAACAGAAATCAGCTTAATTAACATAGGGCTATACTCTGTGCAAGGTGTATGAAAATGTTATGATTTTGGTTTATGTTAATTTTTTGCAGATATTTATAGTCTAAAAGTTGAAGTAATTAAATGGTCTTTTGTTTCCAAATTCCAGCAATGAACGTGAGGAAGAAATTGAAGAATACTATCGCCGCAAGTATGCTGAGGAGTCATCAGCTGCTATGCGCTTTGGTGAAGGAGGAGAAGAAATGAGTGATGAAATTACCCAACAGACTCTGCTTCCTGGTGTTAAGTAAGTTTTGCATTGGTTTCATATTTAATCCTTTAAAATATTGATTCCCTTTCATAGGATCCATATGGAGAGTGTAGAAAAATTTCATAAAAGAATTTTGTAATTCCTGGTGTTAACACTTTCAAGGTAACGTAATGTGATCAGGGCTTGTTTTACTTACAGAGAACTAAATGTAAATCATGTGTACAAATTTGGCACAAGAGGCATGGGAAAAGCATAAGAAAATGGGTCTTTGTGAATTGGCTCCCACACAATGCATTGTGGGAATAACATGTTAGTTCCCATGTTTACCATGGCCAACCAAGTTAATACTCAAGTGGATTAAGTGGTTATTCATCTACAATAGTTCCAACAGTGAGGATGTTGATTAGGAATGGATCTTTATGGATTTGAGATGAAAGTGACGGGAAAAAATGCTGAGAATTGCTAAGAGCACGGATGACCCACACTGAGATACCTCAGGCTTCGGTATGTCCTCAGTATGTCTATGGAGTAAGCTAAAACTAACATTCCCCTATGGTTTTGGGTACTGATGTCAGTAGTAATGGCGATGACTATGGAGATGAATTTTACTTCCTGGCCATTGACACTACTGCAGGGAAAAGTGATGATGATTATTTGCCTATGAAGCATTAGTTTACTGTATACATTGTATTGCGACCCCTGGATGTGTCACAATTTATATAATGTATATTACCTTTTCATATAATTTTATATTGCTTATATTTGCAATAATAGCTAAATCATAAATATATTGCTTTATATTATTATTTGACTTAGTTACTTTTATTAGGTAGGATGTAACATATATATATTATTCAGTGCTCATAGTTCAAGTCTTGATTGTCTAACTACTGTAATTATCGCTCGTTGCTAGTTTCCCTGCCGGCTTCTTGGTGTTGCTGGGTAGCATCTGTCCACGGAGCAATCACGTGATCAAGTGGGGGTGTTCACACCTCGCCTGGAGTAGTCAGTCTGGGCTAGACTCTCTTGGTGGTTGGACGTATTCCTGACAAGACATGCCTAACTCTCCCTTATTGGCCCTTGTTGGAAGATCGTCTCTGTCGCTTTCTTGTTGTTGGTTCTGTAGAACTCTGTTCACAGAGCATTGTCTAGACTTAGTGATTTTCGACGTTGTACTGAGGTTGTGTGTCGCATAGACACTGAGCAACTCAGGTCCTGAGCTGTAGCTTCTGACCTAATTTGCACTGGTATCTGTGCACTGTCACAGTCGGGAACTTAGATTCAGTAGTATGGGAGTTTTGTGACTTTTGTGAAGGATCTGCTGATGGTCCCTACTCCTTTCTTTTCTTTCTTTCAACACACCAGCCGTATCCCACCAAGGCGGGGTGGCCCAAAAGGAAAAACGAAAGTTTCTCCTTTCAAATTTAGTAATATGTACAGGAGAAGGGGTTACTAGCCCCTTGCTCCCGGCATTTTAGTCGCCTCTTAGAACACGCATGGCTTACGGAGGAAGAATTCTGTTCCACTTCCCCATGGAGATAAGAGGAAATAAACAAGAACAAGAACTAGAAAGAAAATAGAAGAAAACCCAGAGGGGTATGTATATATACACTTGTACATGTACGTATGTGTAGTGTGACCTAAGTGTAAGTAGAAGTAGCAAGATGTACCTGAAATCTTGCATGTTCATGAGACAGAAAAAAGGACACCAGCAATCCTACCATCATGTAAAACAATTACAGGCTTTCATTTTACACTCACTTGGCAGGACGGTAATACCTCCCTGGGCGGTCCCTACTTAGTGTCGTTATATTATCTCCTTGATCCTGATTCTGTGTAGCAGTTGCTTGTTATATTGCTATTGGGCTTAGCAGTCGTTTTATTGCTCAAGCAAGCTGTTCTGATTGCCAGGTGGTCTAGAAGTTAGTTAATGTGAGGACTTTGTCAGTCACTGGTTTAAGTCTAGTCGAGTCTTGAGACATAGCGAACTACTTAGAGCACTTACACACATACACACAAACTTATTTGTACAGGTCTCCCTCAACATTCACGTTTTCAACTTTCACAGGCTTCACACATTCGCGAATTCCCAACCACCAAATTCCCAGCCACCAGATTCCCAGCCGCCAAATCATATTTAAGTTTCCCGCCACCTGCGAGTCCCTACTAGCCTCCCTCCGACCCCCGCAACTGGCAGCCAGCTTTCCCACCACTCAGTGTGGTGAGTGTTTTGTTTGTTCATTATTTGCTATTAAACTACAGTATAAATAATGTAAACCCATTCATGACTGCATATTGAAATGGCTTTTAGGAAAGGTATTAGACGGTGACATCATGTGTTTACTCTTGAACACAGCAAAGAATCGAACATTTCTGCTATTGCTAATAATAACAATAGTAATAATAATAATAATAATAAATATGATATAATTGAAGAAGGAAATTGTACAAAAATACGAGGGAGTGGTTGACACATCGTCAGTGTGACTTTGTTTATGCTGGAGTGAACATTAGTCTCCCTGCTCTTCCAAACATTTCACAATAATTCAGCAGTTGAGGCAGTGGTATTTAATAACATATATGTTATAAATAATAATAGTACATGTTATTATTAATAACATGTATTATTATTATTAACATGTATGTTATTAAATACCATTACCTCAATCACTGCTTCTACCACTCCAGTCACACTCAATCTACAAGCACCAAACACAATGAATTATTGTGAAATGTTTGGAAGAGCCGGGAGACTAATGTTCACTCCAGCATAAACAAAGTCACACTGACAATGTGTCAACCACTCCCTCGTATTTTTGTACAATTTCCTTCTTCAATTATATCGTATTTATTATTATTATTATTATTATTATTGTTACTATTGTTATTATTAGCAATAGCAGAAATGTTCGATTCTTTACTGTGTTCAAGAGTAAACACATGATGTCACCGTCTAATACCTTTCCAAATAGCCATTCCAATATGCAGTCATGAATGGGTTTACATTATTTATTCTGTAGTTTAATAGCAAATAATGAACAAACAAAACACTCACCACACTGAGTGGTGGGAGGGCTGGCTGCCAGTTGTGGGGGTCGGTGGGAGGGTAGTAGGGACTCGCAGTGGTGGAGGCAGTGGTGGAGGCAGTGGTGGAGGCAGTGGTGGAGTCTGTGGTATTTAATAACATACATGTTATTAACATAAACACTGATCTCTGGCTGAAGGAGACTCGAACCTACGAACCTTAGGATAAGGTACACAGTGCTTTACCAATCTACCCACACTGGACAATACCTTGGCGTGTAGCATGTGCTACATGTTTGATCCAAGGCAGCCAGCTTTCAGGGAGAAGGCTAACAGCTTTTCATCTCATCCCCTGCATGCATCAGCCTTACTAGAGATTTGAACAATGCAAGGAATTCGCGAGAGCAGGCGAAATAGATGGGTAGATTGGTAAAGCACTGCGTACCTTGTCCTAAGGTTCGTAGGTTCGAGTCTCCTTCAGCCAGAGATCAGTGTTTGTGTATATTTCACCTGCTCTCGCGAATTCCTTGCATGTTATTAACATACATGTTATTAAATAACATACGTTATTGAAGCATAAAATGTATGTTTAGTACAATTTACGACGTTTTCATGTATTTTATGATTATTCATGGTTCAAGAAGTTAAGGAAGTAGTATTGTAATATATTTCCCTACAATATATTGGGGCACCAAACATTCACGGTTTTTCAACATTCGCGAGGCTCTTGATCCCCTAACCCTCGCGAATGTTGAGGGAGACCTGTATATTGTATTATTAAATGTTATTGTACCAGACGGTAATTAAGATGTATAAATGTGATATGTGCCTTCAGCACGATACTACTGTACACGAGAGAAGTGATTATTATTAATTTGTTTTAATTGATTAATTTATTTTAATTTGATAATATACTCCTAGACAATTTTGTTTATTAATAAACTTATTAAATTTTAATTTCTTTAGTCAGTAGCCTACCAGTTGTAATCCTGAAGCACTAATAATTCTTATTGAATTCTAATGGATAATTGGACCAGGATACTGACTACTTGTTACGAAAACCCAGTAACAGGCTGAATGCTAGAAGGGCAGTCCTTTCTAGTATTCACTGGAGATCTGTTTATTAGAAATCACGTTTTTTGTAACACATCACCACATGTGGTCTGGTAGTGTGCCTAGGACTATCCCCAAGAGACATGGCTGATTGCAGGCCTAAGCGCTAGCCAGTGATGGTATTTATAGTGGTGCTTCCATTGGTATGGGTAGTGGACCATAGGCAGTGCCAGCCATGTTGAAGAATAAGAGACATGGGCAACACTAACAATTTTTATTGACACATTTTGTTTGCTCTGCAAGCTTTACCAGTTGATTATAAAGACATAAGTTACTGGTGGAAGATGAAGTTGAGAGGTAGTTGATGTGATCAGTCTATTACCCTTGGAGCAAGATAATGTAAGTCTTAGTTAACCCTTTGAGGGTTGACAGGCCCTCCCCGAGACTCGTTCTCAGGGTCGGCCAAATTTAAAAAAAAAAATAATTTTTTCTTATGAAAAAGTTAGAGAATCTTTTCCCGATCATAATGACACCAAAAATATGAAATTTGATGGAAAACTTACGGAATTATGCTCTCGCGAAGTTAGCGGTCTCGACGATGTTTACACATCGGCGATTTTTGCCCACTTTGAGCCCCATTTTCGGCCAGTTCCACTGTACTAGTCGACAAAAGACATTATTATTTTGCTAGAACTCCATTTTTTCTATTGAATGAGTGCAAGAAACCACACATTTACCAATTTCAACTATCCAGTACATTGGTCAGAATTTAGCAATTTTGCCAATTTCACACAAATTTCAAAAGATGCCAATTTCCGAATAGGGTCCAGAACAAACAAGAAATACATTCCTGGCACTAAAATGACATTTCCTCTGTTCATTAGTCACGTCTCAAGGCCCCTCTTACATTCTTTTGCTTTCCACTTTGAATTTTTATTCTCACAAAAAATAGAAGATTT